CTCGTTAGTGACCCTAGGTTACAATACCGGACCCTTAATAAAACACGGTGCAATTGATACACGTTTCTCAGAACCTTTAATAAGCAAAACATGTTGGCAAACTCATGAGACAATCTGAAACCGATAACTACCAAGCCGCGTGCAGGAAACAATCCAGCATACCGATCACACTCACGGTTCAGCAGCGCTGATAAGATCTCAGAGTTTCTTCAGTGCACTCATCAGGGATTGGCAAGGCCACTCTTTTTTCTGATTTGCTTTTGGCCTCCTCAAAGGCGCAGGGTAGAGGTTCGAAGCAGAGGTTCCACGCAGAGGTTCAAAGCTTCGACTCCTTTCCCTGCATCGTTGTGTCCTCGGTGTGCATCGTTGCGAGACCCTGCTGGGCTGACGAGCCGACCCTGCTGGGCCGAGCTGAACCACGTAGTCAATGCCACTACATCCAAATGTCACGGCACAGCAACTGAATAGCTTGACCACTCAACACATGTCCCTGCATTTAACGAAACCCATCATGTGTTCACCTTTAACAAGCACATGGCCTCAACAGACGAACCCGATGGAAGCAAAACCTATCCCTGCGGGTGGCTAGGCGCATCCTTCATGAGAAGCGTTTTCCTTGAATGCAGCGCCAAACCGCACCGCATCATATGCTTGCCAAGAATCAAGCAGTGCACGAAAGTGAGATATCTGGGTAATCACACATTGAACAATCCAAAATATCGGGGGCAAGGGTACTATGAAGAGACCCCCAGCTAGTGGCCGCATTCAGAGGTATAAGACTATATTTTTATCCGTAATTTTAAGGGTGATAGAGGCGATACATTGTATTATGTTCCGATCAAGGCAACGTTAATAAAATTAGAGGGCGCCACATCAACCGTAGCAGAAGTGGCCAGAATCTTTTGAGGGACATTTGGGCTTTTGTGGAGTATAGGGAACCAACCCAATGTGACAAGCGTGCGCACGCGGCTGTTGTAGCTGAACATGTTTCAGAAATTAATGGCTTGCGATCAACCGGTGCTTGCAAGAATCGTTCATAGGGTAGTTGCCGTCAATTTGTTTAGTTTCAAATCCAAAGGATTTCTTCTATTGGTTTTAGGAAAGAACGCAACCCACTCCGGTTAACTAACACAGAACTCCGCTTGCTTCAAACCTTGTGCTCATTAATGATTAATTTGTTCTTTTATATGTGGTTCCCCTCTTGCACATGTTTGAGATATTGAAAAAAGGTCCCCCCCAAATGGACCAACACATCCTTCGGATGGGGAGACCAGTATTGGGGACCTTTGAGGCACCCGTTCATGGGCCCAAAACCCGGTCGCAACGGTGTCCCAAACAGATGCGCCCATTCCATGCGGAGTGCTGCCCAGTGTTGCCCACAGGTGGCTCCCCACTTCTACCAATCCAAGGAGCGTGGAGAGACCGCGGGGTCTATATGCGCAGGTGTTCACTTGAGGGTCGGAGCAGCTGAAGATGTCTGAAAATTGGAAGACAGGATGAACCTGGTGGACAAACACATGTGGACATTTCAACATGTTTTAATATGAGTTTTTTACCATCACAGTTGTTCATCATCCATTGTGTATTTTAGAAACGAATACGGCCGACTGGAGTTATATATCCACAGGTGCTTTCGGTGCTTCCTCTGATTTGAAGAACCAAGCTCTGATTTGATGGCCCAACCGAGCTTCGACTTTCAGCGACCACTAAATGATACTTGCATGATATTTGTTCACCTTGAGAGCATTTCAGAGATTCGCAAGCCTGTGCAAGTGGACCAGTTTCTGTTCGCAAACTTAGGGTGGCCTGAGGGCGGGTGTTCAACACTTGGAAAAAAACATTGCTTGGATCTATTTGGATTCGGGTGGGGTTTCAGCTGGCAGCCTTCTGTCGCTGGAGTGTATGCAATTGAGGTCGACACGACACGAAACCATGCAAACTGTAAGGAGGGATGGCCAAAGCCATCCTTGTGTGCGTGGGTTTCGGCAGCAACGTCTCATGATCTCACATGGAACTATAGATATTTTGCTCAACCCCGGAAGCTCACACGCAAACTGTGTTGAAGATGCAACCCTTCCTCAGAAGGAGGATGCCGGCCATGCAAGAAATGGGCAGAGTACGATCTTCCACCTTTTTCCACAAACAATTCGTTTAAGCAATTGTCCCATGTCAGGACCTGGATGGCTTCAAGGGCAAAATGCCTAAGGGCCAGGCATGCGTTTAAGCGTAAAACGACTCCGCGTTGGTGGGAGCTGGACTCGTGGAACATCGTGGGGGTCCGGGGATTGGAGATCCAAAATGAGTAATGTAGTACAGGATAGGCATCATGGAAGTAATGGGTACGCATTTTTCTCATGAATCATGGTTTGGCAAGTTCCACATTGGTCTTGCGTCCTTGACTGGTGTCGCCTCTAGTTTTTGGATTTGTGTTTCACTTGGATGACTGGGTGGTCCACAGAAGTCGACTTCATCACTTGATGTGATATGTTGATCTATTTTGCAGGTTAAACAAGATATTCAAAGTGCACTTGTTTTACATGTAATAAGAAGATGGTCTGTGGGTATATATGATATACGTCAGTTTTGTTTTCGTGTTCACCTCGCATTTGCCAGGCCTAGGATGTAGCTTCCTTGACATACAGGCTTCCGTCCCAAGCGACTACGACTGCTCTATAGTAAAGACTGCTGATAGAAAGGGGATGTTTGCATATGTTTAGCAGAATGCTCGGATGTTTGGCTTGGGAGAGTGCTGCCGCAGGTCGGATTGAAGAGTCAACCGGCCAGCCTAAGACATGCATCCAATCTCATCCAATCAAAAGTTGTGAATCCGTGCAAGGTATGTGTATCCTTTTTTTTCATCCTGTCTTCACCGATGGGTATCCCTTTGCAATATCGGCCACACGGCGAAGATGGCGGGGCGCGCGCAGACCTCGACGTCAACGCTCCCCGAGCAGGGTGCGGCCAGTGGAGGCTTCGGAGCTGCCAAATGAGGCCTGGGGGTCGCTCGGGAAGCAGCGCGACCCGTTGAGCACGCTCACCAAACCCTTCAACATGCCAGGTCCTTCTCAGAGTCCCTCTCAGCATCCTCCTCCAAAAAAGTGATCATTTTGGGGATTGATGAAGATGTGTGGGACTGGGGGGGCAGGATTCGTTTCGGAGCGTCTGGATGGCGAGGTCCAACAGTATGGCGGACCCCGAATGGCCAACCGGTGCTTGGGTGGAAGATGGTCCGAGGGTCCATTGATAGGCCAAATATACATATTAATACATATTATCTTATCCCTAGGGCTCCAACTACCTCCTTCGAAGGTATTTAGACCCGCTAAACCCACCCCAGTCCCACCTTCTAAGGTCCTTGGAGCCCTAGGGTATATAATTTTGATGAGATACAGTGTATTATATGTTCACAATTATGTTCAAAACAGTGAATTGTATACTTAGATACAGTGAGATACAGTGTATATATTTTGTAGATATCAACACAATTCAATCTACAACATGTTCACCGAAGCCGGTCCGGACTTGGGACGCACTTTCTGCACTGCGAGCGTCTCTTCTCCCAGACCTGACCTGCACTTGGGACTGGCATATCTAAGCCGATCAGTTCGGGGTGGTTTTTAGTTGGGCATATATAACCAACAGGACAACGCTTCATTCAGTGACATACTGGGCCATTCAGAGCAGTGCTCATTGGTTTTTTAACCCATGTGCGTCAGTGCAATCCATCCCAATCAATATTTCTGGCTCTGGGACGTGTTTGGGCATATGCAGTGCTTCTGCCGGAAGTCACTTTGCCACCAGCTTTCTGCCTTTCCTTCAGTTGCTTCAGATTCCGAAACGCTTCTAGGGGTTCAATGTGCTGGGAACTGATCAAAAGGCTCAAACACAGATGGTATCATATTCCTTCTCTGGATGAAGGATGTTGTTGTTGTTGTTGGAAAATTTCCTCCAACAACAAGGTGTTGTTGATGATGACCGAGATTTTCACCAACACCTTCAACCTCCTTCTCAGGTGACCTGCACCTCCTCCAGCAGTGTGGGGGTTCCCCCGGCCGGGTTACCCGCCCGCTTAGCAGCGGGCGAAGAACGCGTTCGGGCGAAAATGACCGGCCAACGCTCCACCTCTAGCAGCTAGCACAAAGGAATCATCTGGTTGAGCAAACATCTTGCTCATGGGTCATGGTATGTCATGGTTCATCTATAATTTGCTTTGGCGCGTTCATCTGGATTATATTGATCCAATGTTAAATGACCGTGGCACCGAAATCCAAGACAGCTTGCCACCAGGGTCCATTCGTGTCCCAGCATCCCCTTGCCCCAGAGGCGTTGCTCTCACCATTTTGAGGGCAGCCTACAACATGTTGACCGAAAATGCTTCTTTTGCAGGAGGCTGTGGGTGGGTGACATTGCATGTTCAGCAGTCAGGGGAGTAGCCACGGAAGAGACATGTCACCCTTGGTGACATTTGAGGCTCTGCATGTTTCGGGGCTTGAGTCAAAAGCTCTTTGCCGCGTTGGCTCAAAGCTGGTCTGTCAGGGCCAGCAGAAGTATGTGCTGGTCATGTTGACAAGGCATTGGCCTTTGAAGCCACAAACAGAAACATGAGATGCAATAATTATTTTTGTAGAGACATAATGAGACATGTAACATGTGTTTGCAATCAATGATCAGCATTAGCATATATATATATATATATACATGAGCTATAGATGTTTCAGGATCCAACCCAACTTGGAAATGGGAGGAACAAGGCCCCTTCGTGGCCAGCTGACACGTAGAAAAACATCCATCGCTGTGCATCACGTGACGCGGAAACAAGCCGATCGCAACAGGACACTGGACTGCATGGAGTGCCATGCCATGCTGAGGCACTTGAGAAGTGACATTTGGAAGAACATCGAACAGAAAAGGGCAAAGAAGGGGAAGGTGCCACGCAATGTGCACCCACAAGGGCCAGACTGTCTGGTGCAACCAAAGCCTGCAGAGCTCACCATAGCTCACTCAGAACACCTTCACACCGGACCGCCATGCATCTAAGCCCCGCGCAGCGGAGCGCAGTGGCTCGCCCACGGCACAGCGGGTGATGTGTACCCCGACGGGTGACTTCTTCGCGTCGCTACCAGGCTGGGAGTTGCATCGCACCTGGGAGGAGGGGAGTCCAAGATCCAAGAAGGGTGACTTTAGGAGGACACACTTATAGGCTTGTAGGTCAGCCTTATGACTTTTTTTCTTTACCTGATCTTAACATCTTAACTGTATATTGAACGAGTATGATAACGCCGGATGGTTATTGACTCCTCCTAGACTCCTACTGCACAGAAATCGTCCCAGTTGCCAACCCGCGGCCAGACGCCAAGCCGCGGGCCACTCGCTGGTCTCGGAAGGAAGAGAAACCCGAAGGCAGGATGGCACTTGGGTGGAGTTTTCGTAGTCACCTAGTTGACGATGCTTCAAATAGATGACTGGGAGATTGTTGAATTTGGGCATCAAGGTATGCTGCATTGTGCAACATGGCATCACGCCAAAGGAGTCCTATGCAATTCATCAATACTACCAGTGTATGCAACAACAATGTTTGGAAGAGGACACGTGACCAAGAAGCCCGCCAACCGCAGGAACATTCACACACTTCCAGAAAAAAAAAAACACATGCAAACAAAGCATGCAACAAACAATACTTTCCTGGATTCCTTTCTTTTTGACAGGCACAATCGGTCCGGTCGACTTCTCACGCACGTTTCGCACGATTCATCGCCCAAATCGGTGCTTTCGCCGTCGGTCGACTTCGCAGGTCGAGAGGTGCGCAAAGTTGGAGCACTCAGAAGAACCCCAACTGAGCGGAAGAAGCTCCGCGTTTTCCGATGGAGCGCGACGTAACTTCCGATGTGAGAAAGGGGCTTACAAGTAGGGAAAAAAGGTTGCATTTCTGGTTTGGGTGCTGGATGTGGAGCATAGGTTTAGGAGTTCCTCCCAGTTTTCAACATGTTGCCTGCTGGTTTAGTCAGAGTCAGGTGCAATTTTGTTGAATTACGTATCATCTCCATAACGAAAGCCCGATCCCTTTGGAAGCATCTCAGAAAAATTTGGTATTGTTTCGAGCACACTTGGAGATTGCGTTTCTAAACTCTGGCTCAACCATATGACACCCAATCCCACCGAAATGGAGACATCATCCGAGACAAACCCGACCATCTTTGGCGCATCTATGAATCTCATTGTCGCAATCCCCGGTTCGGCGGCAGTTTTGGCATCTTTGCAAGCGAGGCCGATACTCCCACCTGCCACTAAATCGAAAAGCTTATATACAGAGGAAACTTCATACAAAAGTCTGTTCATAACCTCAACAACTAGCTCTCTTCCGTTGGGTGCCCCACTATTGAACCTGAGTTGACTCCACTACGTGTTTGCAATACGCGCCAGTCCTCGAGTTTGAAACTGCTTCAATCAGACACACAAGGGCAAGAGTAAGAGAACCAATGCAAGACCATGGGTATGGATGAAATCGACAAAGTCATCAGAGAACTGGAAGAGGAGGAACCATCGACTTAAACAAGTGCGCTAGTACAGTAAGAGGAAGTGGGTTACTGGAAAGAATTAGCAGTTGATGAAAACGAGGACAGAGAACAAATGAAAACCGTTACGAAAGACAACCCCTGATTGTGGTTTTGTATCCATTTATCCTTTCCCAGTAAAGGCTTTGGTCATCAAGCCAGTTCGCAGAGTATGGTGCAATCAACCGTGACCCTGTGAAACAAAATCATGAACATTTTTGTTTGATGAAGACAAACACGAAGAGGAATGACAGAACTATAACAAAACCATTACACACTGATGACCGTGTTGGTCAGTTGGTTCAGCACAACTGCCGCCCCTTATTTCTATAGCGGCATTTAGGTGCATGCGTTGATTTTGAAATTGATATTGAGGATGGACACCAATGAGACAGAGAAACATTTAAACACAGGAATCACAGGAAGAGATAAGAGATGTATTTTGTAAGATGTCATCCTATGCCTTCACCAGACAATGAGGAAGTCGATGTTGTCTTGGCATAACATTTTTATAGGTTGAAAGGACGGGAAGGTGTACATAAATGATATGTTTCAGTTTGATAATATGTTTGCTTCTCAGGTTTTCCATTATGAAAACGAACGCCTCACAAACAAAAACATCATCATCGATTGTGGTGAGAAACTCAGCCATGATGGAGACTTCCTCCCTATGATTGTAAGCCCAACCCCACTATCAATGGCAATGGATGAGCCAAGTGACACACGCACACACACACAACTTAACTTGTCTGAGACAGATCCGTGCGTGCCATTGAATAATGGTGGGATGGAATAGGGAAGTGGAATTCATAAGCACAATTGATTCACAATAGCTTAGTAAAATATGCATGAACTAATCCCTTTAAAGCAAACCGAACAAGAAATCGCAACAAACCTGAACGAATCGTTGTCTCATCCAATAAATGTGATGAGAGTGCATGTTATGACGAACACGCCGCAGAACCCCCCCCAACATAACACATCAACGCGAAGGAAAGATCGCTAAACTTCCAACATCCAACAAAGTATCGAAGCAGAAGAACAACCCCCCCCAAAAAAGTGGTCCACGCCCGGTCAAACAGAAGGATGGTGGTTAAACCATGCCATTCTAAAACAGAAGGATCTAGTGGTAAAACAGAAGCATCATGATGGTACTTTAGAAAAGACACCTGTTTGACCCCGATTGGACCATTCTCCTTATACCACCCCGGTGGTCCACTTGATCAGGTCTACACCCTGGGCACCTGGCGGGTCAGCCGGGAGGTGGGTGGGGAGTCGTTTGGTTTCCACAGGCATGGAGCAGATGAGGTCAATGGAGCATATCAAATGAATTCAACATGATATAACATCATATATATATATATATCCCTAGGGCTCCAACCATCTCCTCAGAAGGTGGTTAGACCCCCCAAACCCACCCCAACCATCTCCTCAGAAGGTGGTTGGAGCCCTATAGGGTATATATATATACACATGGGGTCTATCCGAACTTACCTGTAACAGGACCCGTAAATAAGCAAATCACTACTTTTAAACAAGGCCTGCAACCTAACCATCATCATCCACTGGGCCCAGGTATCAGGATAGACCCAATATACATATTTATGGTTCCATATAATATCATATTACACCACATGGTATATGGAACCATATGGAACCATCAATATGATACACGTAATATGTGGTATACCCATGTGGTGTAAGATGTATACACCCATGTATACCCTATTGATACACCACTTGTATGGCATGTGCAGAACATCGAGACGTCGAGACGGTGCGTGACTGGTGGCAGACGACCGTGACCGGCGTGTGCGGCCTAGCCCCAGCAGGTCTATTTGTGGCAGCTCTCCTCGCTAGATGTGAAGCTCCTGGTTGATGTGCGCACCTGGCTTAGAACGGGGCGTGGCACTGTGGAGGTATGTGTGTGAGGTATGTTGCGTCCAGTGCGGGAGCAGTCTTCTTTGGATCTGCTCAGGTGCTCAGGTTACAGATCCTTTTTGGTTGTTCTCCAAAAGGGAGTGACTTGTTGCAAGGGACATCAAAGCACCGTGGATTGTTTGTGCATTAATTTGCAGCTGGCCCTCAAAAAGGACACATGTCACATGAGTTGTTTTTCTTTCTTTTTCAGAGCTATTTTCTTTTCAGTTTTGCTTGAGTGAGCGATGGTAAGTCTTGCTCATGGATGAGGGAGGGAGGAAGAGAGGCAGCCAGTGAGCCAGTTCCAATGGAGCAGCAATCTTCACAACTGTTAAGTTCTCCATGTTGGAGTCAAAAGTATCATAATTATCAATTAGCAATACACTCTTGATTTTTCACTTGGTCTAGGAAGGCTTGCCACAAACCTTGGCCAACCTTGCCAGTGCCCTTGGCCAACACACCCACGATGGCGCCTGAGGTGGAAATCCCAAAGCCGGACGTGAAGAGCAACTCTTCAAAGGAGCGGAGACCTCCAGACCTCCAGACCTCCCAAGCCGCCGGGGCATGATGTGACGGTAGAGTGAGACATGGATGTGACGGTGGGTGATGATGAGAATCACATCACAAAAGAGTGAGACATGGTTCATGAATGTTCATGAAAAAGTACAGCAAACATCTATTCCTCCAAGCCTTTGGCTGAAATCTCACCCAATTCGGATCTCTCTCTTTCTTCGGCAGGAAAAGACTTCACCAAAGCGCTCTTGAGCATCGGAGTGCGTGACTTGGCATCGGAGTCGTCGTGGCGTTTTCTTCGTTCGGAAGTTGGAAGACATCGCTTCGACCTAGTGGGACTCGTTTGGGGTCTGTGCGTTCGTACAATAAACAGACGATCAGTCAGCTGCTACGATGTCTTCCAATTGTTTTGGGCCTGTCGCTGGAAGACATCGTAGCAGTCAGTAAACAATTAACAGACTATTCTTGAACAGGGCCTTTACCATCATCATACACTGTTACTGCAGGATAGACGCAAGGTTGACTCGTTTTGGGTGGGAAGCTGTCTCGATGTCTTGTCAAATATCGCTGATCTGACTCATGACCTCAGGATCAACAGTTGTGCAATTGACACTAAGACAGACGGAGAACAGCATTGGTCCCGATCTGTCTGCTTGAGGCACCACCCTCCCCGAGTTGATTTCTCATGCTTTCTCCCCGTAGTGGGTCCCAACGCGATTCCCAGCAAGAGCCCGCACGATTCCGCGCGCGGAATCGTTGGTTGACCCATCTGCCTGATCGATCTCCTCCCCTTGGTGCCCAGGCTACGAGTGGTGGGGCGATCGGTTAGGGGAAGAGCAGATGGAGGATGTGGAGGACTTGCTGGGAGTGGCGGAGTTCGGATGGCCGGATTGGAGACGGGTGGGTCACTTGCTGATCCAGACATAGACTAGACTTTAGGTGTTATAGACTAGCGGCCTGGGTGAGAGTCCACCATCCCATCACTTCGGTGAACACGAAGGGCTGTGCTATGCGCAGGTCGCACCAGAGCCCCAGGGCGAGTAGATGATGGCTGTGCGTGTCACTGCGTGTGGCCGAAAGCTCGTGGCCTCAGCTTGGAGTCCCTAAGTGACCCTTTACAGGCCTATTCTGAGTGGCCGAACGCACCAGGGGATCTATATAAAGATTATCAAGGTCACTGGGAAGCTCCAGGTACAGGAGTCTTCCTGCTGCAACGGCTTTCATCCTGGTGCATGTGTTCGATCTGATGGTCATACGTTTCATCCGTTTCGCCTGTTTGGATCACGGCAGGAGCTCCGGTGCCGCATCAAGGGGTTGCTGGCCTCTGCGTGCTTTGGCGATGGTTTGTGTGTATGTGTGTGGCTGGCTGGTGGTTTGACAATCCCCTTAAAGCCCTCGGTGGAGAGTCTTTCCCCAAAAGGCCGCCCTTGTTGGCCGGTGGAGGTGGAAATATATCGACCCGGTGTCGACGTAGAAGAACGAGTGATTGGAAGTCGTTTCGTGACTCAGTGCCGCAGCGGCGGAAAGAAACAGGTGTGTACATTCTTGAACATTGGATGGTGACGCAATGTGATGGATGGTGACCATCCACATTCGTCAACTGCAAAACGTCGATGAACAAAGCTTCCCCCAAACCTGGAGAGGCGACCATCCAGGAGAGAGGGGGGGCTTCATGAACCGATTGTCAACATTACCCGAACACTCCATGCAATTAGGGTATTTAACAACATACACCTCATTCACCCCAGGTGACCCCACCCCAAGGTATGTACCGATGCCAGTCCCAGACAGGTCCGGAATTGATGGGTACGGATCATGGTTCCGGGATGACCGCATCCCTGGGGCCGGACCCCCGAAGCCGGACTCCAGCTTCCAGCTGCAAGGAACTTAGGTCTTAGCACCTGAGAACCCGCTCGGAACCAGGTGAACTAACACTTCGGCCGTGAGGGGTCTGTGACCGGGTCACGTGACCAACCGAACGTAGTCCCAGATAGTCAGACCGGGTCGGTTTACGGTGAACCACTGGTGAACTGGCGGGTTCTTTTCGATCCACTGAGGGGTTTCACAGAGCCATTCGATCCACTTGGGGGGTTTCACAGAGCCACCACATGTACTGGATCCATCGTGAAGGATCCTGCACCTCTTGGCGAAACGATTTGCACGGTGTGCATGGCGGTCAGCTGTACGAAGAACGAGATAAGAAGTACGGAGTGCCCGGTGTGCCCAAGGTGCCAGTGGCTAGCTGCTTCTCCTGGGTCTCTTCATGAAGCACATGTTCACCATAAAACCTGCAGCTGATATTTCTTTGGCCTTTCTCCCCCGACTCTGCAAGGTGTCCGGGCGCGATTTGTATCTTCGGGCACATGCACGAGCCGCACAAATGCCATCGCTTGCAGCTCTGTGACCTTTTCCCTCCAGGGCTCCTGAACAGCAAAGAGCGGCACAGGGCTGACCCTTTTAAGCCGAGAAGTGCCGACCCAAACATTCCCAAGTGAGAAACCTCACTCACTATGTGAAAGCATGTGAACATTCCAATCGGTTTGGGGTTGGTGGGTTGGTATGTGAAGGTATCCGTTCATTAAGTAGCGGTATGTAGCGGTCTACGGGAATCAGAGCCCCCCCGACCCACAATACATCTCTTACTGGAATCCTTGGATAGGCTCGGATAGACCGAAGGTTTTTCCAGGTTTTTCCAAACACCTCCTGTTTGGACCAACAGAATGGCATCCACAACCTCACCCATCTAATTCCGATTTCGATGTTTGGTCCATCCTGATCTTCCACCTCGTGGACTGCTGGCCACCAAAAATCCGGCCTCTCACCTCTTCGATCTCCGATCTCCATCCGGCGCGTAGGCACGCGATCCAGCACTTGATGTGGCAAGACCATCGCGCCTCGGCGGACCGGGCTGGGCGGGCCCCGGCGGGCCCCGGGAGCGGAGCTTCGGAGGTGTTGGGCCGACCGAAGGGAGCACCGCCATTGGAAGAGTGGGGGGGGGGACAGAGCGCCATCAATGTCTGGTTCTTGAAGTGGATGTGGCTCATCAGTCGACGCCAATCGATCTACGACGGGGAGGACTCCATGACTTGAACTAGCTGGTCAGGAAAGGCAAGAACAAAACGGCAGGGCACACCATTTGACCATGGCACACCAGGTTGGAATATGTTGGAATCCATATCCTCTCTATGAGGTGATGGTTTAAGTGGTGTACGCTCGTGGGTGACGTTTGAAGGATGCGATATGACACATTGACTTGATTTCCAGGACTACAATCTTGCTGATGCACCATTGAACTTGACCACGGGGTCGTCTTGTCAACTTTTCATCAAATGTGTTATGAAAATCATCATAACTGTGAGACAATCACCAATCACAACTTTTGATCATAATCATAAGTGCTTATCACCGGCAGTCAGAAGAGCAACCCTAAAGGGAAGATGAGAAGGTTTTCGCTCCATTCGCTCAGGACAGATCAAGATGCTCAGCCACGTGGATGCGAGCAACCTCTACAGTCGTTGGGTCACGTACTTCAACGTCGCTAAGCCACGAAAAGCGTCGGTGTCACGGAAAGAGGGAGATTGGGTGGTACGTTGGAGGCCATCGCAACTAGGGTGGAGGCCATCACTATTAGGTTGGAGGCCATCGCAAGTAGGGTGGAAGCCATTGCTATTAGGTTGGAGGCCATCGCTACTAGGGCCTAGGGTGGAGGCCATCGCTATTATATAGGTTGGAGGCCATCGCTCTTAGGTTCTTTTTCCTATTGGTTGGTTCGCCTCATACGGCTGAAAATGTCAGGGTCAGGTCAGGCTACGGATGCTGAAGACTGATGGGGGGGTGATTTCTCACCAGGACCTCCAGCAAGACCAGGTTCATCGATTCAAGCAGGAAGCGCCGCTCCTGTTCCCCTTCACATGCTTCCTGCTTCCTGTGTCGAAGAAGATCTTCCACCACAGATCTAGGGGTCGTTCCGCAAGTGGTGGGGTGGGAAGTTCGTCCCATCAACCATATGTGGAATCTCCCAACCACTACCACTACATACCATTACTTGATTCAGGATCAAGAGTCTCCTGTACTATGCGTGGTGGGTCTTGTGCGTCCTTGGCACGCCAACCGTGTGTAGAGACCTGTCGAAACTGAGCACCAGTCCGACAGGGTACGTCCCCTCATTCCGTCTGAACGTCCCCAGGGTGCGCACCAGTCTGCATGTCGGATGCAACGGTTCGGGGATGCAACAGGAAAAACACCATCGAAGGGTTCTTCGCTATGGCCAGGCATGGACAAAAATCCCTATATATATAGATATTTTATAGAAGACAAGTTTCCTGATCCAAAGGGGCTATGCCATCACCGTCAGCTCAGGATTCCATGGCACGCGAAAAGCAGAAACGATGCGAGCGATGCTCGGCAGAGCAGGGACGGTTTGCTCTGAACAGAACGGGATCCCTATCCCAGACCATCCATGTCTGGAAAATATGCCTACATTGACCCCAGGTCAACCAATGTAGATAAACATGCTAGTCCCATGGGGTGTGTCTAGGCTTGTAATTCTTTCAGTTATTTTGTTGTAACTATGGTCTTATCCAGGATGTTAGTGTTGGTTTTGTTGCAGGGTGATGTTGCCGGCTTACCCTAGGAAAAAGCCTTCGGCACCACTTTCAGAGTTTGGCCAAAGTGTTGTTCAAAGTTTCGGCCGAGCAGCCCACTGAGTAAGAGTAAAGAAGAGACCAGGGTCGCCAGGGCCAGGACCTTCAGTTCGTCAAAGTGGGAGGTCTCCCTAATTCAAAGCTGTTGTTCATTCTTGGATGTTACTGGATGACCTGAGGGTATAGCCTCATTCCTGGAAGCCTGGTGTATGTTCACCTCTTTGACAGCGTCCTTTGTACCAAACGTGTCTGGTTGCTCAGGTTCCAACTACTATTCTGAACATTTCTGAACTATACTCTGTGTTTTTCTTCCCATTGGTCTCTATACTCAGTTGACTACTGATCCCCAAGCCCCAAGCGTTCGCGCTCCGAAAAAAACCCTTTTCGCCGGACCAGGCGGGTCTGCGAGGTGGCGGTGTGGGCGCTCCAAGCAGATCGAAGAGGCCCGGACGACGGACGAGGCGACCGCGGTGTTTGATCAAACGTGGAGCCACTTCGAACGAGAGCTCTACCCCGCTGGGTGTGACAAGAGAAGGAGCAGCTGACTAGCCAGTTGGTGCAAGCTTTGTCAAGCACATCATTTGGGGTCAACATTGGTGAAGGATTTCCAGATGATCCACAAACATCAAGGTTCCCCCCCATGGCGTCCCATCCAGTGCATGGCCAGTGGTGAATTGTGGATCACTGGATCCTTCAGCGTTCGCGAGCTGGCGCTCAGGTGCTTCAGCGCGAGGCGAAGGCACTTCCTGTACTGAGTTGGGAATCAACCTCACCCTCCGACTGGGACTCTTGGATTTGGCAGATTGGCAAGATGCCGGACGGCAGCGTTTCCACACTCAGGATTGCAAACCACATAGTCCAGTTGCAGCTCCAGTCTCTGCATTAAGTCAGGTGGACTTACAGAAGTGGGTTGACTATCGTTGGTGAAAGGCTCAATTCGGAGGCCTTCAGGTGTTGGTATAGAGCGTGGTCTAGCTTCTTCTCTGCCACTGCCAGAGCCCAGGAAGAGAAGCTTCGAGATGGCAAGGCCTATCGGCTAAAGCTGCCCTGGGATACTGAATTACTTTGGTATCCACACTTTATGTCGGAGATTCTTGAACTGCAGATATCTTGGACGGGTTTGAGGAGGTTGAGAAGACGTTTCGACCTAGATCAAAGTAAGAAGAGGGTTCACATTACTTTAATCTGGTCTTAGTTTGCTTCCTTCATCTAGGAAGATTCTTTATCCCAAAGGGTTGCTTTGGCCATGACCATTCCTTTTGGCCAGCATCAAACGTAAGAATTGCCACAGACAAGAGATGGTGATGCTTTGGACGAACGGTTGTCGACCAGCCAGACAGCACAACCGCACCGCACGGACGGACGACGAATAAAACCATGCTTCGACGCCCTGGTTGAGCAACAAACATGTTATTATACACCATGGACATAGCATGCAGCATGTTGACTCTAAAAGAAACACCCCCCCATATTTTACAGAGGTTTGTTAATCAACAGCCAACCTAGTATAGAATAGCTTCAGTTGATCACGCAAGCCTTTCCAAAACTGCAGATGGGACCTGCCAGCTGATCATCGCTTCGCTTGAAGAAGCAACAGCTACAGTAATCTTCACTCAGATGACAGGAACTGTTCCGTTTTGCCAGGTGATTGAGGAAATGAGATGTGTTTTTGGGGAAGCAGATGGAAGCAGAGCAAATCTCTGACAGAGACTTCTTGGAGGGTTCCCTCAATCGTGTCCACTGACAACGACACCGGATTGTTGTGGTGTAAATCTTCACAAAGCCTGGGGATTTGGTCGCACTGTGTTCAAACAGCATCGACTGCGTTACTGAGTTGGGTGGCCCAGATACCTGCCATTTTGTGTCCAATTTGGTCGCATGTGATCTAATGATCCTGCCATAGAAGTGGGGTGACAGAACAGGGAGTTCGTCCCTTGTATATACGCCGTCAGGGTCTATCCTGCATCACAGGGAACGACTTCCTAGATGGGTGGGTGAAAATACAACCACGAGCTACCCTCCACTCTGATCTACTAAAATGATCTACTAAATTAGACGGATCAACCAAATGGAATGAGTTGATGAGTCCGTGTTACCAACAGCTTCTCAAAGATTGGTCTTGATCGAAGGGGCTTTACTTCTCGTTTTCACCGTCATCGTCTCCGCTGAGGACTGAAGCAGATGAGCTCGAGGATCTGAGAATTACTATGTGGCTTTGGATGTTCGCTGGGTCGTTGAATTCTCAGAACACCTCGTTTGCAAGTATGGCATTGTCATTTGAACGGGCCAAACAAGTTCAACATCTGGGATATTTTTTAATCTTAGACGTGTCATATATATAATATATACCCAGTAAGTCTAAGTATGTGCAAAGGATACCCCTAGGAAAAGGTCAAAGGATACCCCTGGGACTCTCTGGGTACCAGAGGATCGTAGTCGAACTCGCAGGGTCGATTTTGGCAGATTCTTTACCCTCGGGCAGTTTCAATCTTTGGCTAGGAACCTGGCAGATAACTTGCCCAGGGTAAACAAGATCAATCAATAGAATTCTTCACTAAATCATGTGATCCCACTTTCATGGTATGTATATACTGGTTCGGTCTTTTTAGGGTTTCTATACTGTTTAACTGTTGGTCTTACAGCAATTGTATTTTGTTTTAGGATTTTCGGCACTTATTCTAGATGTAGAGTGCTTTTACGACTACCCTGCTGCTGCGAATACCGGATTCAAAGGAACCATACCCTCATGGGTTGTTGGATATTTGCCTTGCGAAAGGAGACCATTGGAGAGAAGATCACCATGTATCATCCGAACCTTGGTGATTGGTGAAGCTCAGGTACATGTGCATACATGGACTGTCAAAGTCGCATGCCCCAGAAACACTCCAAAATTGAGCAGAAAAAGTCTTGCTGTACATGTGCCGCTACCAGTCGGTTTTCTCACTGCGACAAAACACTGTCGAAACACGTAGAGACACCCGCAGACCGTTTGAGCTTCCTCTGTTTTTTCGTCCGGGCGTTGGTAATATGCGGGGCAAACTACACGCAGCACGCACATTACATGGATGGATGCTTTTCGGTGCAGACTTTGAACCTTGATGCTGCACCGCACCGCCGTTGTGCACCGTTCGGGATACGCTCTAAGATCCGGCCATGACCTCATGACCCCATGAAAGCTTGGTCGCCGAGGACCTACTTCTTCCAGACCCCCAGCGGGGTGACACAGGAGACCGTGAACCGCAAGGGTCAAGCGCGGATTTGCGACTCAGCAAGCAACAAACTCGGCCAGTGTTGGCCGGAATACGAGCTATCTTGGGTCTCCACCAGAGAGGCTTTTGAGCCAGGGTTGTGGAGCTTTCACAGCTTTGACCTACAGCCATTCATTGTTTTGCCCCTCGCATATATTTGAGACACTCTCCCCCTAGTACTTCACTTCACTACACTACTTGATTGTTTCTTGTGTTGCATCGACCAATAGGGTATCCACAAGTGTTCCAAGATGAGGAAACCGTTGGGAAAGCAACATGACATTCCATTCTTGTAAGGAACTCTGGATCAGGCTCAACATGTCTCAATGTGAATCACTTCAGAAGGATTCTCCATCATCACCAGCAAGAATCCTCTATCCATCGGAGTAAACAGGAAACCTTTGGCCGGACTATGCCTCTTAGTTATACTTTATAACACTGATGGCGGTTGCCAAGCCTAAGTAAACCACATTAAACCACTAAAGGTACGGAAGCAGAACATAAGCAATACTCCCGAGTCCACCATTGTCTACTTGAGAAGAGTGCCACTGGTTTTCAGGATATCAACAGCACCACTATGCATATAGCTATGCTTCCCTTCTCGTTCCGCCGATGCATAGTAGCTAGCCAGACGTTCAGATCTTCGGCCGGTCATGATCGGTCGAAGGTGATGACTTCAACTTCGGCATACAATACGATGCTTGGCGGAAGACGATGACTTTGGGTTTTCATAGCGCATTGTTTACGAGGAAGACTCTGTATGATCTGTGTTGTTTCAAAGTTTTTTTTAGATATACACGTATGTCACATAAGTATATATGTTTTTAGGGACATATAGATAGATAGATAGATAGATAAATAGATAGATAGATAGATAAGATAAGATAAGATAAGATAAGATACGATAAGATAAGATAAGATAAGAAAGATAGATAGATAGTAAGATAAGATAAGATAAGATAAGATAAGATAGATAGATAGATAGATAGATAGATAGATTAGATTAGATTAGATTAGATTATAGATGTGGCAAGCAAGAGGTTATGATTTTCATGTGTCACACGGACCTTGACACACTTGATTACATTCTTGAGGACTACAGAGGCCTTCCGTGGCACTACATTAGTATACATGTTGTACATAGAATAGTAGTGCGGCCACAATTACCTCACGTCTTTGCATATTGTCTAGAGGCACATCAATACTGTTTGAGTATGACACGTGCAGGTTCCGAACAACACGCGCAGAACAAAGCGCACAGCGCAAAGGACAACTCCCGGGACAAGTCCCAATTGTATGTCTCGGAGAAGATGGACTCCTGGTCTCGAGCGCTGATGCACCGCGTGGAACATGCCAGCGAGAGTGCTCCTTTGGCGAGAAAGCCGGCAGCGAAACGGGTGTTCATTGGGGCATGGAGAGCAAGAACTTGCACATGTCTTGGGCCAGACTTGTTCCCAACATATCCATTGCATGGAATGGCTTGGCAGCCCGCTCTCCCATCTTTAATCTGCCAAACCCATCTCTGGGTTGCAACAAGTACGCCGGCTTGGGTTTCAGGTAGAAAGTGCTATTGATTGGCACTAATTGAATGTCAATTGATGGGCCCCAAGTTCTGAAAAGAACACTGTCCCAGGTGTGTGTTCTTTGGACGTCCTACTCCGTATGATGTGCCACTCATCTGGGTCATATCAGATGATTGAATCTAAACAAAGCACACCTTGTACTCATTATACTTGGCAGACCAGTCCAAACAACCTCGTGTGCCTACCAAATGTCACACGGCCACTCTTATTTGTCAAGTTTTGCTTTCCTTCAATCCGACTCACGACCCCTATGACTCCCACCCCAACACTCCCACCGCACCGTGACCCCAGTGACCCCAGGTCTTCAACGCGATTTGGTTCAACCACTACCGCGATGGCACGGTCACCATCCATTGGCACAGCGATGGCAACGAGGGTCTGGGCCCTGATCCCATCATCGCTTCACTCTCCCTGGGCGCCACCCGGGACTTTGCGCCGCTCGGTTCACTCGAAGGGCGTCGTGGTGCCGAAGTCGGCCGCCGAGGGAGGCGCATGCGCGGATGCGCGCGGATGCGCGGGGAGATGCGCGGAGCGGAGCTTGTCCTTCTTAAGTTTCTTTTTGCGTTAGGTCATGATAGGGATTGGGTCAGGGAGGGTCAGGGTACAAATGTGAAATGAATTTAGCGCATATTCATATTCATTAGACAGATCTATATATTGATTTACTGTAGCTTTCATTATGCCCAAAGCCATCAGTTCGATGTCCGCGGTGGTACCTGCCTGGAGCCTTGAAAACTGGCTTTACGAGTTCTGTCGACTGAGTTCTAAGCGTTGGCCTGTTGATTTGGCTTTTCTCGGTCCCAGTGCTGCTTCGCCAGACGAATCTACGCCGAGGTTCAAGAGCAAGCGGGAATGGCGAGGGCTTCGCAAAGCGAACGATGGATCCATGTTCCACAGCAACAACATCATCCACATCACCCTGCCCCTGTTTCACGGCTCCCTCTGCGTGATGGGCCACTTGGTGCAGCTTCCTTCTGCGTGAAGCGGTTCTTTTCTTTACACTGCAGTGTTTCATTTTTTCCCGCGTGCACAAAGCTAACAGCTGCGAAACATGGATTTTGCAGTTGTGAGTTGCAAGCCTGAATCGGGATGGACGGAGCAAAGCTGAGCACGGCTATAGGCTAATACGCATTTTATATTGCGATACATAGACAACTTGAACAGAAACATTTCATCATAGACGGTGTGCGATGTTTGCCCGGAGTGATTCCGAACGCTGACGTGTTGACACTGCTATACACTGCTAATGAATGCTAATGATACTAATGACACTGCTATAGGATCAATGCTTGAAAAGCGATCATAAGGGAACCTAAGGGCAGCAGATGCCCTGTTTGATAGATACGGTACGCTTGATGGAAGACAGATATTGTACCGCAAGGATTCTCACTGTTGACAAAAAAATGCGTGCCAACCCCCACAGTCATTGAGACTGGTGTGCCTCAGTTGCGCTCAGAAGAAGCAATCGATACTCTGACTATTTCATGTTCATCCGGTGGAGTGAGAATCGCCAAAAGTTTGTTGTTCGGAACATCGTTTTCCTAGCAGCGACCATCCATGGGACTGGCCTATTTACCTACATTGGGGTGGTTGCAGGGGTCAATACTGGCATATGTTCCATGCATGGATGGTCTTGGTAGGGAACATGCCATGTTCATTTGTGAGGCGCAGTGTTGATGGGCTTGTTCCCCTTCCCCAGGTAAGAACTCCCAGCGCCACTGGTTGCATGCCGTCCCGGCCATGGAGGGCAGCTTGGCAGATGAAGGGTCACAGAAAGAACAAAAAAACGATGTTTGCAGAGATTCTACGATGACCACCACCTCAGAAAAAAAAGACTACGGAGCTCCAGTGTTTGAAAGCAATGGTGTTCCAAACTGTTAAAAAGATGGGGTCCCTCAATTTGGCTGCTGCGCAAAGCCGTTCGAACGGCCGTGGAAATTGCCCACATTCTCCTTCAGAGATCGGAGTGATTCAAGGACTTGAAGTCCTGCGGTTTATTCCAAGACTCTACCTGTCTGGGACTGGCATATTTACATACACTGGGGTGGTTGACCTGGGGTCAATGTATCATACAATCCAGTCCCATGGAGTGCTTGGGATTGCATCGAAAGCGGCCATGTGGGGATGAACATCATGGTTCACCAGCGTGCCATGACCTTTCTTTGCTGTTTCTTTTTTGCAGAGGGTTCACTCTGGAACAAAAAAGTGATACGGGATATGTATTGGATTGTATTTACAGACTTGGAGTCTTTTTTTTCAGGTCCCAAGTATGGTAAATTGAAGTTGTATATCAACTGTCATCGTCGTGTTTGATTCCAACACAAGCCAATCACATCCCAGAGCTCCGGGTGCTCACAGAGCTTCGGGCGCCGCTTCCGAACGGAGGACGTTTGAGGACGCCCAGAACGGACCGTGGACCGTCCGATGCGAGGCGGTCGGGCGACCGGTCGGCCGAACTGGACCCGGTGTGAGGCGTGTGTCGTGAGGATGATGTAGTAGACGACACAAGAAGGGACCATCACAATCCATGACCAGTGGATTGCCAGCTGTTTTCAAGTGACATGAATTTGGGTCTAGAGTCTAGAACGGATGTTCGAGGCAGCGAAGGGCCAATTTTCTCAGGTATCCACCGCGAACGCACGAATCTCACCTTCCGCTTCTGGGCCTTGGAGGGCTTTGAGACCATCGATGCAGCCGAGGCTCAGGCTCGATGCGACCTTGTGGGACCAGACCACCTTGTCACCCAGCTTTCAAGCTGTCCGAAAACGACACAGCAGCACGGTCCGGTCTCACCGTGAAGCAGTGGACTTCTGGACCTCAGTGGACTTCTGGACCTGAATGTTAGAAATACCACTTGACAAGAAACGATAAACAGGTCACCAAGTGAGACCACATTTACCCTTCCCAACCCTCAACGAATTACCTCTTGAAGGGTCCTGGTGTATAATATATACTGTATATTATTGTTGTGTATATATATATATGTTATATTACATACATAGATCATTATATATATAGGTCTATCTGATATCCTAATCCTTTGAGCCGCCTGTCCTCGACCTCTTGAGGCAGACACCCAACGTCAGTTTCGACTCCGGCTCACGCCCTCCCAACGCTTGGCGCAGCGCCGTGCACGACCGGTGATCCTCGATGCACCTCGCGATGCGAAGACGACGGTGGAGGAGATGCTGAGACGACTGGAGAATCTTCTGCCACCAGGTCTAGGGGAGGTGGGGATGGTGGGGATGGCTGGTGGATGGTGGGGATGATCCGGGCGTTATGCAAAAAACGGATGGCTGTCGTGTCAGGTCGGTGGGCTCCGTCACACGACGTCTCCGGGCTTCGAGTCTTCTTAGCGGTCTCTTTGGGCTCGGTCCGGAGCGCACGCACGCACGGTCTTGACGTCGCCGCTGTTTGGAGGTGGTCTTGGCCCAAACGGAGGGCGACATCCTGCAGAATGACCAGCCGCTCTTGGACGAGTTGGAGTCTTGGACGATGAAAGGGCACAGGTGCCCCGCGTTGGTGAACAAGGCGCTGGTGCGCGCTCCGTGGTTCACCCAGGGAGCTGGGACGACGGAGCTGGGACGACGGAGCTGACTGAAAGCCACTGACCTCAGGAGCGCTTGGGCTTGTGGCCAGCCACCTCAGCGATGCCGATCATCAACCTGCAACTGCTACCCGTGGCGGACGAAGAAAAGAGTGGCGAGTGCCGAGAGGACTGGAGACCGGAGAACATATGTGAAAGTATGTGGATCGCGATTAAGACTTAGTTGTTATTATATATAAGTACAGGCAAGCATGTTGCATGAATATTTGTTGCTGTACTTGAATTACTCGGGGTATATACCTAAAGTACAAGACGAATGTTGGCCCATGTATTTTCCTTCTGCCGCGGACAGTCTGTGGCGTGACAGAGAATCAACCTGCTTTATTGAGACCAACTTGGATGATAAAGAAGGTGGCAAGGTTTTAATCAAGAATGATCGTTTACGGAACTGAGCTGCGGCAGGTTGTCGTCGTCCTTGCTTGTCAACACTGTTGAGGATATGCATCCATCAGCTTCACGGGTTTGGGGTAAAAAACAAACACATGTTGAGGAAACAGGTGAAGTTGTGACGATTGATATATTGTACAGATCCCCCTCCACACATGGGATATAACAAGTGTGTTTGGACGGATACAGCAGACATATTTCAATCGCGGCAAAGCACACCAGGCTCTTGTATTTTTTGAGTCCGCTCCACAAAGCAACAACTATACATTCAACTATATGATTTGATCATACATGACCGATATATATATATATAATTACTGTTGATCCAAGCGTTTCTTGGTTCATAGCCCTTTGGAAGATACCGACTGCTGCTTTTCAGGAGGTGAGTCCAGTTCTTACCCAGCACAGCATCGAAGCAGACAGTGCTGGGCTTCAGCTGGTACGCGAGGTGGGAGAATAGCTGGAGCGGTGTTAGACGATCGTGGGAAATGGGCTTTTGGGCTGGAAGCCCAAAAAGATTGGGTTTGAAGTGTAGGGGTTCTTGAACTTGACCTGATTTTTGTTCCTAAAAATAGAAATAATTGATTGTGGATGACTGGATGACATTTTTTTTTGGAAGTCTGTATCAAGACAAGACAAGAAGCTACAGAAGCAGCACTTCTTCCTACAGGAACAGCACTTCAGGATCGATGTCTGCACGAAAGAGGCTTCCCACCCTCGTGCGAGCTGGAAAAACCCTCCTGCGAGCTGGAAACCCTCCTGGGAGCTGGAAAAACCCTCCTGGGAGCTGGAAAAAACCCTCGGCCTCGGTGGTCCAACCCGGTGGTCCAACCCGGTGGAGTTTCCAGCTCTATAGCTGCTATCCGGTGGTCCAACCCGTTCTCGTCAGAGGACTTCCCGCTTGTTCGTCATCTCCGGAGGTCCAACTGTCCTGCCCTGGAGCCTATGCTCCACCGCATGGAGACGTGGAGGTCCAGGCGATGAAACACGTGGGTCAAACGAACGGAGGGGATGGTGATTTGGCTGGGCAGCAAAGGTGTAGAGGTGGGATGAGGCGGGAGAACTGACATGTTGCATTACCTTGGGATGATGCTTCCCTCTTCCTCGCGAACAGATGGGTTTCTTTCTCTGACGCTCCTTTGCAGCAAATTTGACCTGCCATATATACAAAACTGTCTCAAGTCACCACTCACCTTCTGGGGCAAACCCACCAGGTGGAGGTATTGAGGTTTATTGAGAGTCGCACCCCATATTCCTGTGTAACGCACAAAACCTCCGGTTCCTGGCGGAGATGTCTGGCGTTCAAGCCTCAGCAGAGTCGCCGATCTCTGCTCTATCCAGTACTGATCAGTACTGTAGGAGACAAACATGTGACTCTCTTTGGAATGGCGGTCCCTACTAGTTGCTAGCCATCACGAGGATTCCCCTGCAGCACTCCTTTATCGGAACAACCACAGCCATGTCCCATGTTGCAGGATTTCCCAACGTCCCAACAGCAAAATCTCCCGGTCCATTTGGGGAGGAACCACTTGGCCGCATGCTAACGGCCTTCCACCCCCCACCGTTCCAGACCTTCCCCACGGCCGAGGCCAACGGCGCCTCGCACTGGATCCAGGAAGTGTCCCTTGGAGATACCGAGCCGAACCCACCCGAGACCGGTGTCACCGTCCGCGGTCTCCGGTCGCAGGTTCGAAGAGGCCGGGTCAGACGGAGGAACCAAAAACGCGGGAGGCCGGCTGGAGGCAGTTCTAGCTCCAGAGGGCATATATAAATGGATATGGACCTGGATATATATATATATATATACAGATCAAAGCTTTGGGCGAGGATGGTGTCTAAGTTTAACTTGGTTAAACTTCGTCGTTCTGGAAGACAGCGTAATCTGACCGTGATCGGCGTGATTGGCTCAATCGACGAACTGGCCAATGTCTGAATGAATTCCACTGAACATATGGACAAAAGACTTGGCATTGATGGAGCCACTTCTTGGGGAGTGGTTTTTGTGGGTTTGGACAGGGTTGCTTAAGAATGTCAAAAACACTCACACCGTGGTTGGCGTGAACGGGCGTGAAGGCAAGTTAAACATGATCAGTTTGTTATGACTAAGTTAAGCTTCGACGTTTTGTGTGACTAAGTTTTCTGGCGTCGTTTGATTCCCAGGGTCTATATATATATATATACAAAGAGTCCGTTTTGTGACTGAAGGCCTTCACAAGAGGTGGGACCGCGGATGATCGACTGTTGGAGGGATCCTCGTTTTGGGGGCGGGTTGCGAGCTTCATTTGTTCATGTGAGGTTCCCTGTGTTGTCCGGCATCAGGATCCAGAACTTGTCCGGCATCCAGCGGAAGAGCAAAGGCAAAGGCCGCATCAGCCAGATGGTTTACCACCAGTGCTGCTGGGCAATCGTCTCGTGTATCACGTCAGAGAGTATCAAATCAGAGATCATCAGAGAACCAGGCGAAGTCATCAGAGATCCTCAGAGTTTCACAATGCTTCTCTTTTTTATCGCACCCTCTCCACAGACTGACTTGTGGCACTTACATTCCCAGTGTTTTGATGTTGCTTTCACGAAGCATCTCACTCTGAAAATTCCTGCGTCCATAGTGGCCATAGTGCAGGTGACTTGAAAAAAACACAGGTGACGTTTCTGCTCATGTTGCAGATCAATTATTTTGGTGAAAGTAATTCAACTTCTCACAACATACATGAATTTGAGAAGGTTCCTCATTGTTGACCATCATCACTGCTGCTGTAATTTGTCGGGTGTATATTTAGACATCAGTTGCAGAATGCCGGAAAACCACCTTGTTTACAGTGACACGCTCCAGATTCCTCCATGCTACTTAGCTCTAAAGACACCTGGACTCATGAGGATTCATGAGATTTTTCCGGACTTAGGCAGCGAATTCTGCGCCCTCTACCTGGCCCGACCCAAGAGTAGTGTGCACTTGGCTTCTTGGACGAGCGAAGTGTCCAAATTGCTGGCTGCAAGGTTCGTGCCGGACGGGTCTTTATCTTTTTCCCCACCTGCCAGGTGAGGGTTGTTAGATTTTATGACAGTTGTTCTTCCTCCTTCCTTCCTTCCTCCTTCCTTCCTTCCTCCTTGCTTCCTTCCTCGCCAATCTTCATCGCCACTCTTCATCGCCAATCTTCTTCGCCAATCTGCTTCGCTAATCTGCTTCGCCGATCTTGTCTGGCAAGCTCTGGATCGCAGTGTGCACCCCTGGACCTCAACCGCAAGGATCCGATCGCA